CACAGAGGCGCTACCACCGTTGCTGATTGGCCCGGCTTTGGCCAGAGCGGGTCTGTCTTAAAGCTGGCCAGCATTGGCTGTATTGCACGTAGGGGAAACTTCTAGCAGCTTCTCACAGAAGCCACCCCTGTAACCTGCCCCTACTACCAAAACCTTGCCACACAAACCCATTACGCCGTTATATCTTGTCCACCTACCAAACCTGAAGGAGCTGTTTCTGTTTTCCAGGTCACACAGTGAATAAGATGCGCAAACATTCAGATCACGATGTGGCCAGCCTCGCCGAAGCTATTTACACGGAGTGGCGAACTTTCATCCAAGACCATTCAAACAAGCCCTCAATAGAGGTCAGGAGCGATCCCAAGACCGAGGCTTTCAGAAAGAACGCACGGAGGCTGCTTTGTGAAGCCCTGGATCTAGAGGTATCGTTCAGGTCAATTTGCCTTTGGCTCAAAGCGTTACTTCTTGTAGGAACAAGTTAAACAAACGTTTTTCAGCCATAGCTGCTGTAGAGCGGGTCCTTCCTACAGAGCGTGGACAAGACCAGATGATTTGTTCCTATTTTCAGTGATTCACTGCATGTCTCTATTTGTAAGTAGATTTGTTTTCAAGGTAGATAATTTTTTTTTTGGTTGTTAACAAAGTAAACACACTAAGTGAAGTGTATTTGCTTTTATTTACATAGTCAATCAACAGAATAGTTGTGCATCTACTGCAGTTGGGCTGTACAAGAGAAGGAGGAAGTTAATAGAACACAAAGTTTTTCCTGCTACTTAACAGCTGTGAAAGCAAGACTGGGACCTTTTGGGTGTTTCATATTTAAGTAATTAAACATTTGTAAATTTAAATCTATTGCAAAAACAGAGAAGCAAGGTTGACAGTATATAAAGCGGTGATAAATACCAGATCCCTCAGGTATCTTTAAGTAAATGAGCAGAGCTTCACCATAAGGCTTAATGACTAGTTTGCTTGGTCTATGAAATGCCGTAATAATTATCCTTTTTAATTTATTCATTAATTATCCTTTAAATGGCAAGTCAAGTGATAAGCACTCAAGAGTTTCAAAGCGATGTGTTTGCTAGCTGGGAGAACAACCTCTCCAACTTCCAGTCCACCTGGACTGAGGCAGCACAAAAGGATGGTTTGCTATGGGAATGCCTCAGAAAGGTGGGAGCTCATCTTTGCCAGGCCACTGGGTCAAGCTTAGTTCTGGAAAGCCCATCTATGCTTGGTGGTAAGACTGGTAGTAAAGTCTGAACCTATGGGACATAAAGGCTGTGGTACCCCCTAAAACGCTTTACCCTTGGATAAAGCAGAATTGCCTCTGAGCAGGACTCACCTGAAAGCACAGCAAGGAAAAATACCCTTCTAGCTTGCAGCTACGACCGTACGCGCAGGCAGAGCTTACAGCAGCAGGTGAACAGCATATATAGGCAGGGGAGCCACAGAAGTCCAGCAGATGGGGAGCAGGGACACCTGAGAGGCTGACAAAAAGGAGAAGGGAGGGTGGAGCTGAATGGACCCAAGGGGCTTCTAGTGCTGCCCAGCAGAGGAGCAATTTAGTGATGTGTAGCAGAAATGGAGTGGGCAGAGAACTTGGAGGGGTTCCGCTTGGCACGCTAGAATCTCCTGCGCACAAAGCATGGGAGATTCCCCATCACACAAGGCAGAAGTGAAATTAAAACCATTTCTTGATGGGTGGGGGATTTTTTCCTAAGCTGTGCTAAAGTACAGGTTTTGGCACATGTTGAAGTAATAACTACATAATTAACATTTAGCAAATCCCTATCTGCATTCTTAATTACACCTCCTTCTACACACAGAGAGCCCACATTTCCCTTTATAGCACCAGGCAGAGTTGCCAAGTGTTTGGCATGTCTTAGAGTTGCTGCTGGAATCAAGTTTAAAATAGTACCTAAGGTACCTTCTATCAGCAAGATCAAAAGTGAGCTTTATGGAGACAGTACAACGTAGCTTATAATTGCAGTTGAGCTTGATACCCAAAGCTAGTTGCAGATTAGTTTCCTGTTGTGATGGCAAAGTACTGCCACCCAGCTGGAGATGTGGATATGTTCCCTGCTACTGACCATGTTGTCTTGTTCCATAATTGCTAGGGTGGAATTAAATTGCTTTTCCTGTTACACTTGTGGTGGGAAGTAGATTTCCGTGAATCTAAGTTGATTAATGAAGAAACACTGAAAAGCACCAAAGTCTGCTTTCCATCAGTTGGTCTCCTTATTAAATGTAAAGATCTAATTTTATACTTTGCTGTTTTCAGATTGGTCACCCGCTGGCTGAAAATATTGAGCGAGAAGCTTTTCATCTCTCTTCCCGTCTCATTAGCGCACCGTATCGCAAAACGGTGCGAGCTCTTGTCTTCTCATTAAAGCATAAACCTGAAACCCGAGCAGAAGTCAAGACTGGCACGCTCACTGTCCCTGTGTTTGTACAGAGCCATAAGAAGTGAGATATCGTGCCTGGTCCTGAGTGAGAACTTCATCTCTGTGGAACTGGGAGCCCTTTCTGTCGTGAGGGCAGTGCAGAAGTGCTGACAGTGTGACTCGCTTGGCACCAGTCTCTGAACAGGGCTGCTGAAGACAAGAAGTACTAATGATGAAAGTCGTGCTGTAAATCTGACTTGGTAGAAATCCTTGCGGGCTGCTTGTTTCTTCTACTCTGCTGTATATTTTCCTGCTACAAAACCATCCTTGCTGACTCACCTTGTTTCTCACTTCTGCCCGTTGGTCCCACCTCACTTTAGCTCCATCCATGATGTGGCTCTTCAGGTATAATCAGCTGAATAACATAAAGGAGCAGCTCTGTGCTGTGCTGGTAGGAAATACTGGGAAATCATGGGAGGAGATTCCTAGTGGATAGCTGCAAAGTCTAGTTAACTCTAAATCAGCCGCGTCTGCTGCAGCTGGGCCCTGCCTGTGGCAAGAGCTCGCTGTTTTGCCAAGCCAGGTGATTTCCCTTTGCTGCATTCCAGAGTTGGATGTGAAATGGGCTATCTGTTATTCCATAGGCTCAGTCATCCGGTGATTGTGGGCATTTTCTAAAGCCCTGTCGTGAAAATCAAAATGCCCTGGAGTATAGGTGCTATCTAATGCCTCTGCTGTTTAATGAGCAGCTCACTCAGACTTCCATACCTCACTCATGAGTTGAACGTGGTGCTTGTTCTTACATGACAAAAACTTGAAATGAATTTTCTAAATAAAATTAGGTTATAAGCAAAGTACTCATTTTAAAGGCTTTTTTTCCCTCCAAAAGGAATGTTGTGCAGAATGATTGAACAAATTTGAGCAACAAACTATTAATTCCTTCTAGTTATTAAAAACTGGAAATCTCGTCTCTCATATTTGCTCCGATTTCTATAGTGCCACAAGTCATCTCGTTCTCCGTAAGCTATTATTAAAGCTGTCACAGGCACGGTGTTTCTCTACTGGTAGGTAATAAAGTGCTCTCTGTTCTCGGTGTGTGTATGTAGGTACACAAGGGACTGGTGACAAACCTTTTTCTGAGTTATCAGGGTAGACAGAACCAAGTGAGAGAAACCTGACTATTCACAGTCATGGGAATTGAAGTCTTAATATACCATAAGGAAGTGTCTTTTGATCAGTCGTGGTCAGCACTCTTATTTCAGAAGAGCCACTTAAGGACAAATAATGCAGTGGGAAAACTATGAATTGGTCTTTATTCAGGCCTTTACCCTAAAACATGACATTATGTGGACCTGCGAAATACTTTTTTCTTCTGTGGATGCTAGAAGCTAAAGAAACACCCAAAACTTACCTCAGGTGTTGAACTCTATATATTTAATTATATAATTGCAGGTTCTCTTAAAAAGCATGTAAACCCTGTCTTGTTTGCTTGGGCCAGTGCAAGACCATTTTTTTTCTGTGCACATTGTGAAGGTATCTTCAAACAGTTGCCTTTTCTGGCAACTTCCTTTCTGGTTTTGTCCTGAAAACATTCCCTTGTTCTCTGCATTCCTCCTGTCCTGTGGGTCTTGAGTCCAACCCTTAGGAATCAGGGTTTGAAACTGGCGTACAGGCGTTTCATTTGTAGAAAGTTAAGGTTAGGTGTGTTGGAAATAGTATGAGAGAAACTGGCAGATCTATGGGTGGTGACTGTATGGTTAACATGTCAGTGAAGGCTTAACACTTGTTGACTAGGCTGTAGCAAGAGATGAAAACCCTCAATTTATTTCTTATGAGTAGTCAGCTCCATTTCCCACTTAAATAACTTCAAACTGCACAGCTGTAATTGAATTCACGTATCCTGGACTGTCACGGAAGGGGTTCGGGATCGCTGAACAACCTAGCTTTTCCTTCCAGAGCTGCAATGCCAAGACCTGCAGTATTTATTTTCAGCTTTCTGTTCCTGGTGCTGGGCTGCGTTTTCACTATTTAGGTACTGTGCGGGAAGCAAAAATCCTGAAAACAAGGAGCTTCTGGTCTAATGAAAGCCAGGCCAGATAAGTTTCCCACCCAGGTCAGATACAGTCGGAGAACTTTGGCTTATCTGTACACACAGCCAGTTTCCGCTGTGCTGTGCGTTGCTTTGCAAGACAGAGCTAGGAATCTCCCAGATTGTTGGTGATGCCCAGTGTGGGTAGCAACCGAGGACAATTGCTGTCTGAAAGTGAACGGCTCTATGGCGATGGCAGTTCTACTCTGAAAATAGCAACTCGGCGAGATCCACTTTTGTTTTTACAGTTTAGTCCTGGGAACCGACTGAGGGAGGGGAAAATCATGTGTATGATTCTTTCCCCTCTTATTAGTAAACAGTCCTGTGGAAGGGATGATTTCCACAGACAGCGTGGAACAACTTAAGAGGTGCACGTGAGCTCTTATGTTTCACGCAGACTACAAGCTCAGTCTGTCTATACCACCAGACTTTGTTTCAGGATATTAGCAAAGCTCTGCCAGGCCTGTCTTTTCCAGGTGACTTCTTCCATGCCCTCTCCTGGTCCCTGACACCTTCCTTTTCTGAGCAGCCTTCAGGGAAGAGAGATTTTTAAATTTTTTTAATCTATTTTGAATACCGTCAGCACTTTAGGGCATACATTGCAGAGATTTTTTTTTTTTACTTCATTATCAATATGTATGAAATATTTTTTTCATTTGGGAATTAACTTCAGTGATGCAGGGTTACTGCACACAAGGAGAAAACTCCCATACATTTCCTCTATTTAATGGCTAGTATTTTTGCCCAACTCATTTTCAAAGGGACCTGAGTCTATAGCTCTGGGTCCAGCTCTTCTAACTTAATGTTAAAGCTGGCAGGAACATTTGGGCTGAAGATTCACAGACTCAGCTTTGCATAAAACCGACTGACTGGAGGAACTGGAAAAGATTCCTAACGGCTGGACTCAAGACCCACAGGACAGGAGGAATGCAGAGAACAAGGGAATGTTTTCAGGACAAAACCAGAAAGGAAGGCGGGGAAGAAAGACAGAAACAGACAAAAAAGCAATGGGCCAAAAAGGGCTTCAGTTTCCCAAAGGGTGATGTTGAATGTGACAACAGGATACTCAATACCTGACAGTAATCAAGAGTTTAATTGCTCTCCAAAGACTAGACTTCCTCCCTTTGAGCAATCTCACCTACACAACTGCATTTGTTTATGCGTTAGGTTACCTACTGACTCAGTTTGCTATTCCTCCGTGCTTCCTTCCCTCTCCTGGCCGGTGCAGCCAGGGAGGAGGCTGGGGCCACGTGGCTCGTGGATAAAGCAGGAGGACAGGGATGGCCGTTTCCCAGCGCCGTGACCCATTCTGCACTAGCTGTAGCCCGTGTGACCTCTCGAAATCCCTTGAAAGAGAGGGGCTGGAAGGGCACAGGCACCTGAACCCTACAGAGCACATAGCTCCCAAGGCTGGCCTGGCTCCAAAACATCTGGTCTGTCATAGCTTGCCTGTGGCAAACCCACTCACAGGGGGTCCTGCAGGACCCTCCCCAGCTTGGGTTCCCCTGCCACACGGGTTACACATCAGGCTGGAAGAAGGGGCCCCTCACGCATCCTAAAGTGTGGCCTCACTGGCCCAGACGTGCATTTCTCCTAAATTCTGCACTTTCTCCCCGGGTTTTCTTTGGCAGCTGCTGTGCAGTACAGACCAGCCACAGGGTACCGGTAAGACACGTTACAAAGGCAGGGACGCTCCACAAGCTCCTGTGTTCACGCTGGGGAAACCCTTTTAGATTAATAGGGAGGATGAAAGAGCTGAGCAGCAGCTCCCTTGTGCTAAGTTTTTCTGGCATGGTGCCTCTGAAATAGCCGGTTTCCTTTTTGCAGTGGAGGAGGCACCCAATCTGGAGAAAAGGTTCTTCTGTTTTGCTTAACCACATTAAGCCCAGCCCACAGATTTCCTTCAGCGAAAGAGCACATAAACCCGACAGACCTATAGAGACCTGCTGCACCCAGCAAAGAGAGGAGGGGAGCACCTTCTGGAGACGAGTTACATCTGCTTTCCTCACCTGCCCGTGCTGCTGGTACTTAGGGAATATGGGCTGGGCTCAGGGCAGCACCAGGAGGGATGGAGGGGGAATTCACCCCTGACAGAGCTGACTTCTGACCCTGGCTTCTGAAGAGCAAGTCTGGGAAGGCACCAGGTGACAGCTTGCTCCCTTCCCCCCCAGCAGGCACAGCTCAGGAGAGCTTTGTCCTGCTGCAAATTACTTGGGCGAAAGAAGATGGGAGTAGACAAGAGCCTCCCTGTCCTTCGGAAAAAGAAAGTGCGCAGCGGCTCACCATTTTTCATCTTTTAAGAGGCTCTTCAAAGGTTTCTCTACAAAGAACCCAAACTTTTAGATCTCCTGTGCTTCCCTGGCAGCCCTGTAATAGGAAGGGTTTGCTAGGCTGGCCCTGGATTAAGAGATGTTAAGGTAAGTAGCAGCCCCAGATGTCTTTGGGAGCCCTGATCATTTGAAGGAGGCTTCAGAAACTTACGTTAGCACATGATGGGGGCAGGAGTGTAGGATGGAGCAGAGCGGGGACAGAGGGCAGCAGAAAAAAAGAGGTAGAGGGAGGGAAACATGTCAGGGAGTTCTCCAGCCCAGCTGGCCATAGCCAGCAAACCCCTGCTCCTCCATGCAGGGCACAGCACCAGAAGCATTGAGTCTTCCTTGCCGCTTTAAATGGCTGCAGCCCTTTTAAAGCATTTTTACTGCTAATGAGTGAGCCCTCCCATAGCAGAGATCACGTTGTGGAGGATATCACAAGGGCTGGAGAACCCTCCTGCATTTGTTTAAACACTCCGCTGCACAGGTGCTGATATTGCAGGATAAATCCCCCCTCAGTTCAGGTGGATGTACTGGCATTTCACAGCGGGGGAAACTGAGGCACAAAGGGACTCCGACATGCCAGAGGATGCAAAAAAAGGGAAGCCCGTGCCAGGGTTACACTGCAATTAATGATGCTCTAATTCTTCTGCTGGCAGTCCACTGAAAAACATCCACGGTCTCT